CAACCCCTATTTAATGATTTAAATGGAATAATTCAAATTATATACCACTTATTTTTTTGGGTTAAATGTTAAATTTGGTCCCTTAACTTTAAGAAATGCACATTTTTGACCCCTCAACAATTTTTTGCACTTTTTTAATCCCTCAACTCTAACAAATGCACACCGTTAGTCCTTTTGTTAATTTCTGCCGTTAACTCTGCATATGTGGCATTTTTTATATATTTTTTGATGATGTGGAGCGTAAAACATAAAAAAGTAATGATATGGACAAAACGTTTTGCCATGTTCAAACAAAAAACATTTTCTCAGCATCCAAACACCCTTCTAACCAAACAAATGAAAACCCACTAAGAATTGCTTTTTTACCCATTAATCACTGCTTCTGTTCTTTCCATTTTGAACATTGAAATCATTCAAATGATACTTAAGAAATATGAAAAAACGAATATCAAAAATCCCTCACAACTTGCAATTTACATAAAAATCTCTTCAAATAAACATATAACAAAAAAAAAAAAAGTGGAGCTGGGTTTGGTGAACCTAGCAGATCTGGGTTCGAGGAACCCACCAACTGGGTTCGAGGAACCCACCAACTGGGTTCCATCGAACCGGAGCTGGGTTCGGTGGAACCCAGATGGCTGGGTTCAAGGGACCCAGCAACAGAGGAAGAAGAGGAAGAAAGAAGAAAAAAAAAAGAAAGGAAGAAGATGAGTCGAGCTTTTTTATTTTTTTATTAAAAATATAAATCCTAAATAAATTTAATATATGAGTTGACATCGAACACGTCATCAAAAAAAATTCCAAATCAGCACTTTTTAATGTTGTTTTTGCTATGTTATCAAAAAAAACATAAAAAATGCCACATGGCGGAATTAACGGTCTAAATTGACAGAAGGACTAACAGTATACATTTCTTAGAGTTAAAGGATCAAAAAAGTGCAAAAAATTATTAAGGGATCAAAAATGTGCAACTCACTAAAGTTGAGGGACTAAATTTAGCATTTAACCTTTTTTTTTGTCAAATTGGAATTAATAGAGGGGCAAATTAGTCATCCAAACGACCCTACTAAATAAAGAAAAGATGTTAATTAAGATGTCCTTTATGATAACTTTAGTTTGCGTTGTTGAACTAATTATAGTTACATGGGATGGTGCAGAGAAATGACAATCCTAAATTAATTGAAACTTAATATAATTTTTAAATAATGAGAGAGTAGTATAAAAAAGAAAAAAAAAAAAAACATTCTGCCAACTAACATTCGGTTTCCTAACTGTCATGGAGATCGTGTGTGGGGCCGTTCTGGTTCACCGGCGGTCAATTCTACCAATACTTGGCTGATCACCAGCGCTCTCGTCCGATAAACCCAGTCAACGTTGACCAAGAGAAACGGTCAACTGTTTTTGACGAAAAATCGTGGCGTTCTATCGTTACGATGTGCCTGACGTGCCATGCATAATCACCGATCAAACACAACGTGATTGACTAGCTAAAGGCCCAAAGCTTCTCCTAGACGATCACTTTGAGGATTTTTCAAAAATACCGGCTTGATTTGGCTCTTAATAGTGGTTTTGCTCAATTGAACAAATAAACATATTTAAATTATAGAAAGTGATTAATACATCATTCGGTTTAATATATTATGTAATATATTTATTAAAAAATTATTATTTTTTTGTTTAAAATTAAAAACAAAAAATTTAATAATACAATCATATATACATGATATAAGAACTTACTAAATTGATTATATTTATATTACATTTTTAATCACTAAACTAAAAGTGTATAAAAAAAATATATTAAATCGAGAGTGTACTAATCATTTTTTTTAAATTATAGATAAACATATTATTAATTATTAAATATTAACTAAATTATTTATATTTTCTTAACAGTTAATGTAAATAAAGCCTAATTAAATCGTTAACAACGAGACGTACTCATAGATTTTTCTACCTAAGGAGCATTTTCCTTTACGCTTGCTCCTGTCTTAACTTCAACGTAAAGTTTTGGTCCCTCCTGGTGATGGTGAGGACTTTGTGATTTTTCAGAGGTAATGATCAAGTTTTATTAGGATTCTCCTTGTACCTATCAAATATAAATATATGGTCTAGGTCAAATATATATATATATAATCTCTTTCTAGTGTTGTTATGCACTTTATAATTTGAAAGGTTAACATATTTTCCTTTGGTTTCCACTTGCTTTGTTAATTTCAATAACCATATGCCGATCAAAAAAAAAAAATTCAATATCCATATGTGGGTTGGAGGTGAGAGTGCTTGCACGTGCTTACAAAGGTTTTTTTATTTTTTATTTTCTTTTCTTAAAAATCATTTGAAATTTTATCAATAGTCAGATTATGTAACATTAACACTGATATGTTTGTGTCATTTCTTTCAGTAAGTGCGAGATATTAATTGAATCAGTATAATATGTTCTAGCACTGTCTTTTTGGTTCTTGTAACTATCCAATGATGATTTATTTTAAGTCACTCATTTACATATTAAATTACTTTTATTTTATATTTAACTTGCTTACTCAAAGTTAAGCTAAATAGTTTTGACTAACTTAATTCATTCTTTTTGCTTGCTCAAAGCTAAATGATGCATATACTTTACTCAGTAGATGAGTTGGTAGGAGACTCTTTCAGCTTAACTAGAGGTTTTAGTTTTAAACCTTGAGAATGCAATTCCGTTAAAACTTATGAAAGAGAGTTTTGTTGCTTGTTGAGTCATGTCCGGCTCGAATTTGAATTAATCGGTAACCCAGTGAGCTTTCAGATATTGGATAATCCATACAAAAAAAAAAAAATGCATATACTCTATATTGATTTAATTTATTCAAGGCAGTGTTGTTAAAAGTATAAATGGCTTAAGCACTGACCTCAGAAAACACTTAAGTGGTGGATTAGAAAGTAAAGTGAGTACTTTATTAAAGTGAGACGAGCAGTTAAAAAATAATATATAACGATATGTATATCATAAAAAGAGAAGAAAACAGAAAGGGAAAAGTAGAAATAACAAAGCAAAAAAACAAGAAAAAAGAGGAATATAATACCTAGAAACTCCTGTAAGGAAGAAATAGCTAGAGTTTTTGAAGAAGAGAAAGTAGCAGCAATGAAGAAGAGAGAGCACACGTAGCAGCAAGGAAGAAAGAGAAATAGGATGAGCATACTCTTTTTGTTTTAATTACTCTTATTAGGTGAATTCCACCAAGCGGTTCGATGGGCCGTACGCCTCATTGAGGGAAATAAGATGTTCATCAAATTTAGAAATCGAATATCTAGTTGTTAACAACTAATTAAATTAACTTACTAGCTATTACCTTTGTAAAAAACAAAAATTACTCTTATAGGTTAAAATGGAAAAATAAAATATCCATCAACTAAATTATTGTTTAAATGGGATATTTTTGTCTAAATTGAAAAACTTAATAGAAGTGCTTGCTTCAAGCGCTTCATGCTCTAACTGCCTCAGCCCTACAGCAGGTGCCTTAACCTCACTTCATGACTACATAAAGTGCTGAGGCACAACAGTGCTCTACTTTTCTCTTAACTAGTTCGAAATAGTCACTTTTAACGACGTGAATTTAAGAAAATTAATTTTTTTAACTGCTTATCATAATACTTATATCTTAAAAGTTAAAATTGACTTACAAAATAATATTTATTTACTAATAAATTATTCAATTCTTAGGATTAGGTTAACTATATATATATCTTGGTGCTTTTATATTTGAGTTTAACATATTATATATTTAGATTGAGAAGAATAGAAGGAATCAGAGAAGAGGGAACGAAGGAGATGGAAGAGGAGAGAAATTTTTTAACAAATTAAATTATAACATTTTAAGCACATTGTATTTAAGAAGATACTATTAGTGAACCTTGTACCATGTGTATTTAAGCGCATGCTCCATCAAGTTATGTACTCTGTTTACACTTATAATAAAAAGGGGAACAAATTAATAAATAAATAAAAATTTAGGCATTTTGAAATTTTAAAAATTAAATTTTTTATAAAATTATTTAAATATTCTTAATATTTTTCTTCTGTACATCAAGAGTTACATTTCAAGTTTTTAACTGCTTCAAACTTTTCTCAATCCCAAAAAACATGAACCAAAATTAAAAAAAAAAAAAAAAAAATACCACCCAATTAAGAAGGGACTTAGTTACGGTCAAGCGCGGGTCTTGTAGCAAAGGCAGGTTGGGACGCCACCCTGGTGACGTCCGCAAGCTTACACAACTGATCTCCATCTCTCTTCGCCTTCCCAGGTTAAAATATATCATCAAATTTTCATCTCTCCCAACTCCAGATTTTGCAGAGATGAATAGGGTTATGAAAGCCACCATTTTCAATCTTCAAAGCAACCATCTTTCCCGGAGGGCAGCCCTTTTTCACTCCACCCCTGTCCTCGAAAGCAAAAGGCGTTCCCACTGGAAATCCGTGAGTTTCTCTCTCTGTATACGAAATTAAGGATTTCTATGTCTATATGATGCATTTTCCTCAATTGGGTATCTTCGTTTTATTTACAATTAGATGATTTTTGATTGAAAGTTTCAACCTTTTCATCTTTTTGTGAGGTTTAAGCAATCCAAGATGAGATGGTTTTGATTAAGGATGTGTTGTGGCATTATTTATAAATTAATTATGATTAAATTTTGTGGCTTTTCTCCTCGATTGTTGATAGAACCTGTAATTTGAAAGTTTATTACTCTTTGGTTTTTGGGTTCCATGAATGGATGCTGCGATCTTGCACTTGTGGAGCCCAAAATAACCTAGGAAGATGACTTTTCTTGTTTTCCCTCATTTTCTTGGATGAAAGATCATAAAAAATGAGGCCTTTTGTTGTCTGGGATTTTTGTTTTCTTTGAACAAGGGTAATGTTTTAGGGTTAGGGAGGGAAGAAGGGAGGCTGAGGAGTTGAACCGGCATCTGGCAGATTGAGCACTGTTAAGGTGACCAACTGCTGCTTTAGTTGCCAGGTTCTTCTTGTTGTCTGGGACTGGGATGCTACGTTATAGAAATTGGAGTGTCAATTGTTTTTGTGTGGCTGAGTCTTAGAACTCTGATACTTAAGGGGAGTTTTGTTCAAAAGGTTTCATCGGACTGTTGCAATGCTTTCTATCAACTCTTACGATCATGCATTTCACTCATTGCATGTTGAAACTGAACTAGGGAAAATATTTAAAAACCGTCATGTTCGTGCTTCTGATATGCTCACCATTTTACTGACAGTACTTAAAACTTGATTATTTTATCCTTATTTTTTGAAGAAAATTTATGCTGTTCATGCAACTGTTTATATGCAGAGCAAGAAGCATAAAAAGCAGCATGGGAAAAGAGAAGTATTACGTAATCTCAATGCTTATGCAGACTACATATTACAGGTTTGTGGTTTACATTTTCTTTTCCCCTATTCTTTCCATCACCTCAGTTCTGAACCTCCACGGACATGATGTACTTCGAAGCTTTGATTTCCTCTACATAACTACACAACTGAGTTTAGAAGTTAATTAACTGACTTGTCATATACAGCATCTCATGCTTCTAGACTCTAGAATCCTTTTTTGTCATTAAATTAGGTGCTTATTTAAGGGTTTCTCATGAAATAGTGGATAAACAATGGTGTCAATCATAGTTTTGTGCTCTTAGCCTCTTCATTTTTATGTGCTCTAGTCTTTAATGGATAAATTGGGTAATTTGCAGTTATGACTCTCTTTAGTTTTACCATTCATGTCAATGTATGTCTAGATTTAAGCCTATAACCTACATATTGCTTATGTTGGTACTGAGTTTTAAATATTACACTATTAACTGTTTAACCTAACATTTTGCACTTGTAAGGTAACGTAAGAACTGTGTTATATGCCTCTTGAGTTAGGAGTGTATTAAATCTAGCCATTCATGCATACTTTCAATTGAGATACTACTTTTAGATTTAAATGCTGCCAAGACCTTCTCCTACCTAGGAACTTGTTATTATAAGCTCATTTCCTCATTAAAAATGTTTAATTTAAGATGATAAGAATGTTGCTTTGCTGGCCATGAGGATTTGATCCTTTTCATATAATGAAGCTAATTCGATTATGGTGGCTTGTGTCTTTATATTTTCATTTGTGGCTCAGAGAAGAATGAAGAAAATGTGGAGGCAGTGCTTGAGGTTGATGAAATAAAAGCCTGTTTGAATGTTCTTCTTCTTATTTTCTTTTATCAAGAATCTGAAAAGTAGCTTCTTTGAGATGAAAAATAAATTTTGATGATTTTTCCCCTTCATCTTTTTATTCAAAATATATAAGCTGGAGAATGTGGTAGAATGTATTGTAGAGAACCCTTTTGATTTCAGTCATTACAGTGTCAGTCTTTACTAAATAATCATTCATCACCTTTATTCAAAATAGTCATAGAAAGAAGTAATTTCTATGGCTGCAGGGTGCCATTAACCCTTTATACTTATTGCAGAACATTTTTTTTCCCATATATTGTTAATCTTTGCAAAGTAATCTTGTGCTTGCCAGTATCTACTATTACTATGATATCTTTTAGTTACGGTAGAGGTTTTAAATGTGCTTTGGTTATTCTGTTTTAAGGGATGGAAAGATCGGTTTAAGGAGGATGATGATCCATCATCAATGAGAGGCCCATCATGGTTCACAAAGCAGTACCATGGAGGATCCGGGAGGGAGGGGCCTCAGTGGCCTGGCAGTCAGGGACGCCGGCATTGGGGTAGAAGTAAGGACATCTAAAAGACTTGCCTTTATTTATTTTATTTATACAGTGGAGGCCAAGGACGATTATGGAATTTTTGACTTCTCCATCATTGGGAAGGTTTAACAGCTGCTTGGCCAAGCATCTGGTTGATAAAGGCATTAAAAAATTTGGCTTTATAAGTAAGCGTAAAGGGGACTTTATTTTAATTTATGTTATATCAATGGCACACCTATAGACATATGACAGATGATGGGACAACTTACTAGGGGAGCCTCTGGGATGAGTTTTGTTCTGTAAATTTCCGTTGGCAGTGGTAATGAAAACTTTAAGGATTGCCTGTACTTGGTTTTTCTTTGGTCAAGGTTATTCCATTCTGAATCTGACTCCATTCAAAATTGGAATGTACTCTATTAATTATCACCAATTTGTGCATTTTCTAGAATTTAAAAACAGAAAATGAAAAAAATCCAACTTTGTTGAAATATGTTATATATGCATTGGCATGTTTTTCTCCTGGACTGAATACTGACTTGCCCATTTTAAATTCTTGACTAGGAGCATTTGAGTTTTGTGAAGATGATGACGATGATGATGATGTTGAGACTATATTTAGATCATCATTTGATGGGGGTCGATTCTTTTACTTTTCCTTCATTGATGAAGAGAGTCCTCGATGGAGGAGTTCATTTGGGTACTCTAAAAACCACAGGAAGTCTTGGAACTGGAGATACCAAGATGAGGAAGACTATTATGATTCCTCATCAGAATCTGAGATGCCAGAGAGTTCAGACCCAGATATGGCTTCAGATCGGTTGGCCCTTGGACTAAGAGCTTATGGTCCCATAACACTTGAAGATGTCAAAACTGCGTGAGTTTTTAGTTTATTCTGCTGCACCTCTCAACTACCCTTGTGAACAGTTTCTGTTGATGAATTGCTGCTGGATGATGTTTCTCTCCATTGACCAATCTTGATTCTCAATCTTTGTTCTCCAGATATCGAGCATGTGCACTGAAATGGCATCCAGATCGGCATCAAGGCTCTTACAAGGTATTATCTTTTTAACACCCCTTTTGTTAGGGTTCTACAACATCAATTTCTGCTGTGATATGCTAGATAGGTTGTTTCGTGGAATATTGAATAGAATTCACTTCATGAATGTCAATTAGCTCAAAATCTGAAACATTTTCTATTTCTGCTAAATAAAGTACAAGATGTATCTAGAAGCACTGCCAATACTTACCGTATGTTTGGATTGAGGGGAGAGGAATTTCCTGCTCTCTCTTCCCCTCATTTGCATAGGTAAATAAATTAAAAGAAAAAATAAAGGAAATTTTCCTCTTCCCCTCCAATTTTTCTTTTATAACGAAATAGAGAAATTTTTTCTCCTTCCCTTCCCTCCCCTCCCCTCCATTCCCCACAACCCAAACATATTGTTAAACAAATTGGTATCAGATATGCTAGCCAGGTTTAGTAGATTGAACAATCAAATGATAGCTATATTGACACCAAACTGTTTTATCTGTCACTTGTTCTAGTGAGCTAACCACTCAGTTACTGCTCACCAGCAGGTCATTGCCGAGGAGAAGTTCAAGCTTTGCAGCTCAGCATATCAATCTTTATGCGATAAGTTGGCCGTGAATTAAGGATTCTCCAAGGAAGGTCTCCTTATTTACTCAACACCAGTGCAGTTAACCAGAAATTTAACATTTATCATTGCAGTTGAACAACTTCTGCAGTCTAGCTTTTTCGAGAAACGGTGCCATGGCACCAGCATTGTCTATATACTTTTCTCCATTAAGGGGAACCAAGCAATGATGACCATTCTATGTTGGTCATTCAATGTGATGTTTTGTATTCTATATAGGGTTCTAGAAAGTCATAACATTCTCACTATTAAAATTTAAAAATGATAATGAAAAAATTTAGATATTCTTAAAGAATTAACATGTAAAGAAGGTTTTATTAAAAATATTTGAAACAATTTTATTAGGCAGTCATGGCATTTTAAAAAGATAATTTAGGTTGATTTTATTACAAGTAATAATGTACAAGTTGACTAATGACTTGTTGATTGAAATTTAATTTTTTTTAAATAAGATTTTAAGTTTAAATTTTGATTACTAACTATTAAAATGATAATACCAAAATCTCTAATATTTAATATGGTTATCGAATGTTAAGAGTATACTATTAAAAAAAAAAAAGTATAAGTTGATATGAAGTACATTTTCCTTGTTTATTTATTTTTTTTTTGGTGGAATACATTTTCCTTGTTTTCATTCTCATAAACACCGTTTTTGGGTGGAGAAAAGTAAAATGAGGCGCCTTATATTTGGAAAAGAATAGAATGGGAAATTAGTGGGGAGAATATTATGGTCCATTTTATTTTCTTGTCTTTTATTTTTCTAATATGATGTAAAAATCATTTTTATTTGCCACAAATTAAAAAACAAAAAATGAAGGGGGAGAACTGTTTCTGGAGATGAAAAATGGATTAAAAAAATTACCAACTTTCCATATACTCCTTGGTCTTAGAATAATAAATTTTTTATTTATTTTTAATATATTAAGGGAATTTTTTTTTACTATTTTAACTTTATTATTTTATTTTAATTTTAATGATCTATAATATCATAATTTTTTTTTATTTTTTTAAAAATAAAAAAATATAAATAAAGATTATTACGATAAAATTAAAATACGTTTAATATTATTATAAAACCAAAGAAATATTATCTTCTAATTTTTCTAAAGCTATTTTTTTTCCCGAATTTCTAAAGCTGATTTACCAACCACAAATGCATGCCCTATGCCAAACACGCCCTAAGGAGTATCAAAAGCATTGGCATTTTGCATTGACTAAAATATGTGTTTCTTCAATTTATCGAATTATTATCTCAATTTCTCTCCTTTCACTTGGGGTGACTTCAAAATTTGCCATTTTTGTGTTTCTTATTTCATCTGCCATTCTGTTTATCCAAAAAAGGAGAAATCTTTTCTTTTGATTTGAGTTTATATTTATATATAATGCTAAAAGCTATTCAGATGCTTGGTTCTTCATCTGGGTATATCTCGCTAAGGTTGAAGAAGCATCATTCCAGTAATGGGTTCTTCTCATTATCCCGCAGAAGTTACAGGGCAACTTCTTCTCCGCTTTTGCCTGCCTTTTCCAATCGGAAAACGCACGCTTTGAGAACGGTTCGAGTATACGCGAGTCAGTCGGATGCTAACCTAGATGGGACTTCTTATTCTTCATCGGTTGCAGTTCCCTCAGCTGTGAGTTTTTTCTGGTACCTCTCATTGGCATTTATGGGTTTAGTCTGAATTTCCTTTTGGAATTGTATGGTTGTCAGTTGTGATAATGCAGATTGTAGATATTTTGTTAGCATTTATGGGGAATTTTAGCAAAGGAATTTGTTACTTTGTATGTGAATATGATGATTGATCTGAATTCCGAGAAAATTATTGTGGGTTTCAAACGCCAATTGAGTGAGCTTTCTTATCCTGTGAGTCTTCTTTAGAATTATAAACTTTGTGTAGGTTAAATTTATCTGGAATTAGTGTATCTCGGAATCGTATGATTGAAGTTTTCTTTGTATAAGGAAATGTGTTTTGTTTTGGAATTCAATGGCTTGAACTTGGTTCTAGATGTAATGTTTCTTGATTTTTCAGTTATGCCATAAATAAACAAATTTCAGTGTTTCATGTGTGATGATTACTATGAATCTAGCTAATTGGTTCATTTCTCTTGCCTCTTTCTGTTTTTGTTTCTCTTATTATTCTGAGCTGATTGCCTGATTCTTCAACTGCTGAGTAGATAAGAAAGGAAAATTCAGTGTTTTTGCTTCTTCTTTTTTTCATATTTGGATTTTTGGTACTCTTTTTCCAATTATGTCTTCATTACCCATAGCTGACTAGTTGTTGTTATGGTTAGTCACCAAGCCCATATAACTGTTGATTGTCCAATTTCTATCTGATGCTACCTAAATCTAAATTTTCTTTTTGGCCTTCTACCTAAATCTAAATTTTAAGTTAAACATGATTCACTATATATGAGTTCTTCACTCTTTCTAGATTTTTCATCAAACAAAGCAACAGCTAAGAAAGGTGTCTTTGGTACTTTTCTGTATGCATGAATGGTCACTAGTCAGGATGTATGAATTATGTTCAACATCCATTTCTTGTTGTTCCAAGCATGGTTCTTTGCAAATTGAAGTGCTTATCTAACATAGGTCCTTTTTTGGCAATGATGATTATTGACAATCATGTAAGCATCTGATTTTGATTTCTTTGGCTTGATCAGTTCCGAACCCAAATTTATGTTGCCCTTTTAGTTTGTTTTAGCTTTTTCTATATTTTTTGGGATCTACCTTATCTCCTTATAGAAGTTGCACTTAGGTGTTTCTTTTTGATGATGATGATGGATCCATCCCAAGGTTATGAATTTTTATATTATAGATATTTATGTTTTTGTGTTTCTTTACATCCCCTCATTCACTATTTGACTGATCTATGTCAATGCACAGGGCAAAATTTATAAGATCAAGTTCTGTCAGTGGTGTGGTGGCACAACAAAGCATGATATACCTGATGGAGAGGAGAAAATAAGAGCTATCTGTACTCTCTGTGGAAAAATTGCCTATCAAAACCCAAAAATGGTATGTCCAGTTATTTTGCATGCACAAATGGTATCTGTACTTTCATCATCATGATGTCTGCAGATATTATAGAGAACAAGTTAATTCACTGCACTCTGATAAGCCTTTAGAATAAAATTGGTGTAGATGAGGGTTTTGTTTTTTTTCTCCTCCATTCTTTCTTTGTCTTTGTTTACTTTTATTTTTCCTTTACTTGTGCTTCGTTACTTTGCTTCTT